ATGTTCTGGAGGAGACTGAAAGAGTCTCACAGAGAAAGCCAAGTCCAGACCAGTCAGAAAGGTGCAGAAGGTTGGGACTGAGTTGCTTGAGGAATGACCTCCCACCGTGCAAATGTGTTTGTCTATCAGCTGGGAAACCTAAAGCTCTATTTTGAAAGCAGAGCACAACTGAAGCAAAGGCATTCCAGAAAATGCCAGTCATGCCTCAGTTTGTGCCCACCCCCAGTCACAGGCATCTGATCTGACCAAGCTCACAGCAAAGGGTCTCCAGTACAGGAGGGGAGGTAGACACAGGGAGGTACAGTATCCGGTGCCAAGGAGCCTGGGATTTGCTAGCAGGAAACAACTATTCAAACACTGGCTTATTGGCTAGGAGATTTGTTGGCAAGACAAGAAGCTGCTCAAGAATTCCAGGGCATGGCTATCATTGAGGTCCAGCCATGAGATCAAAGCAAGGTTCATCTATCAAAGGATGATTTCCACATCTCCACCAAATTCTAGCTTCTCTAGCACTGTATCCTCTAACCACCGTGATCCGAGGAATGCTACAGAAGGGATCAGGAAGACTAATAACTTCATTCCTGAAGACCTTGGAATTATAGATCATGGTAATTATGGCTGCCATTTAGTGAACACTTAGTGTATTCCAAGTCTTGTGTGCTGGGCACTTCATGTACATGAGCTGACTTAATCTTATCACCCTGCTGGGAGATAATTACAGTGATGGAATTGAAGCACAGAGAGGTTAAGTAACTTGTTGAGTCAAAAACCCTTATTCCTTCTGCTCATATCACACTCGAGTTGAAGATAAACAATTCACATTCTGAAAGTAGTTGTTAAGGCATAATGTATTAATTACAAGTTACTGCTCCTTGATTAGAATTCAATTTTAAACCTCTCAGTAATTCTATGATGCTTATTAATTTTCCTTCAACTCAAGGCAAACAGAAAGGTATATCTGCAGATAATAAAGTGACGAAATAGTTTTGGGCCAGTTGGATGACTGGCTTTTGCCCAAATGTTTGGGTCAACTAAAACATTTAATTCATCCAGGTAGGATTTATATGGTTAAGATTGTGAGATTCCCTTTTAGGGGAGGGAAGAAGGAAAAAACAGGAAACAAAAGTGAAGTTAATCTATATTCAACAAAGTTGAAAGTGTGGAAGGGGAAAGAATCTGAAATCTTAAAATAATTAGTGAGAGCTGTATTTCATGCCTGCCTCACAAACACAAGGTCCTAAGTTGGATCCCTGATACAAAAAAAAAAAAAAAAAAAAAAAAAAAA